GGAGTTTCTTGCCTGTTTATCTTCGCAAGCCATAACCTCCGTGGTTGTTCTGACAAAAGCTTAGTCTTCTCACATTCATGAAGTCTAATGATGGGTATACTGTAAAATCCAAGTTTAACGGAACCTCCGGCACGATTTGAACATCCATTGACCCAGCAGGAGATGACCATTTTCAACTTTATCACAACATTAACACGTTTCAGCTTCTTTTTCTATTGTTTTGCCCACAGCATGCCAATACAAATGGCGCCGGGTCGGCAAATCCCCGTATGTAGTGACGTCATGTGGGAACTATGTATATCAGTGACATGTTGGTGTGGATCAGCTGGGACTGACATCCAGCTGGTACCATAAGGTCAGGATTAAACATGGGGAGGCAGCGATTCAGATTCATACAGCATAAAATGGACGGATTGTATCTTCACTGTCTTTTATGTACTTTGCTTGTTTATGATTATAATGCGTTGACTTGCCTGGCCAAGGAGTGATTTCAACAGCGACTAGCTGGAGCATTTGTTCCCAATGAGGTGATCTATGTGTTTTTATCATTGCATTTCCTATGTTAAAACTACTGTTGTGATTTAGGGCTATATACGATACAATACAATACAGTTTATTCTTGTATAGCCCTAAATTACAACAGAAGTCATCTCAGAGGACTTAACAAAACCATTGAAATCACCAACACGGATCAGAGAATCAACAGTTAAGACACAAAATATACACAAATGAAATGGTCCATAGGAGAGGGAGAGACCAATGTCCATGAATGTTGAAAAATGTCCATACATGTTGTAGAATGTATATATATTATACAAAAATGAATGTGATTGAATTGAATTCAAGGCCCTTGTAGTGGCCAAAATGTACCTCCAGCCTCTAGATGTCACTAGTGCTGGATACTGTCACACCTGTGTGTATTTAAGGCAGGTAATTAGTGCAGCAGGTGTTGCATGTGTGAGAAGGAACAGTCTTTTGACCGTGTTAATCAGCACATGGAAATAAAGGATGGAATTTTGTGCATATTTTTGAGTATTGGACTCATTTTTGGACCAGGAAACACGCGTCTGAAATCCCACCAAACATTGCAACCTAGTGGTTCAGTGACATAGGGCCACTGAGCCTCTACATAAGTCAAAAGACTCCTCCGACGGCATCAGGCAGGATCCCAGCTTTGTCTAAATCTGAGGTACAGAAGCAGGACTGCCTCAATGTTTAGAGTGGATTGGCCGTGCAGATGCTGTTGTTGGGATTAAGAGGAGACTTTTTGAATGGAAACCTTCACAAAAGGGTGACTTGTGTTTATATATATTTGAAGGAAAAACAATCAAGTGCTTTTGATACAATGTCTTATGGCAAAACTAAATCCTTGGCTGCAGCTCGTTTAGAGATTAAAGCAAATATAGCTGCACTACTGGTGCGAAAGGCTGCATTGGATCAAAAGTATGAATTGGAGGAGCAGATTGCAGTTCTTCGAAGGAGAAGGGAGCAACTGGAAATTGAGATCAAAATGCTTGAAATTAAAACTTGCATCATTGAAGTCTATAAATAAGAGCAACAGACGAGTTTCTGAACTAAAACTCCCTGAGCCAGACAAGTTTTTTATGCATGAAGTTGTAACTTTGCCACCTTCCATTCTTGAACTCTGCAGTGAAGATACAGGGGCCGGTCATCAGGATCTTCACTGCGCCTCTTTGGAAGACACTACTCCAGACCTTTGTGATCACACCTCCAACAGTTCGCCATCTCCAGCACAGGACAACCTCTCATTCTCTAATTGTGAGCTTAATCCCTCTGAAATTGTGGATTCCTCAGATGTGGCCAGTGGCACAGGTATTGGACCTGGTGCTGCTGAAGACCTTTTGACAAAGGCAGGAGGCACTCTGGGGAAAGGACAGGGTAGGACAGGCCTCCCCGATTTGCATGTATGCTCAGTGGACAGAGGGGACATAAAGAAGAGAAGTGAGGTTACAGCTGGTGAAGTACTGGACATGGGGTTGTGTGGTTGCTTTTCTTCATTGCCAACTAGCCTTTGGCCCACTAACTGTGGAGTTCAAGATCTGTTTCATCTTGACAAACCAAAAGCATTCAAGAGGAAGAGATGGAAAGATGAAATGTATGTGGACATCAAACGTTGTGGCTAATGAATTTGATCATCTTGTCAGAGATTATTTGTTTAAAGTGTAACTTTGATGTATAGTTTGAAAATGAAAGCGCTAATCTGTTCATTACACCCATGTTGTCCCCATGTAAATGTTGTAATTGTTCTAGCTAATGCAGGAACAATTAAGGGGCCGGTGTGTAGTGGCCAAAATGTACCTCCAGCCTCTAGATGTCACTAGTGCTGGATACTGTCACACCTGTGTGTATTTAAGGCAGGTAATTAGTGCAGCAGGTGTTGCATGTGTGAGAAGGAACAGTCTTTTGACCGTGTTAATCAGCACATGGAAATAAAGGATGGAATTTTGTGCATATTTTTGAGTATTGGACTCATTTTTGGACCAGGAAACACGCGTCTGAAATCCCACCAAACATTGCAACCTAGTGGTTCAGTGACATAGGGCCACTGAGCCTCTACAGCCCTTTTCATCTGTCATACTTGTTTCCCCATACTTAAGATATTATTTCACTTTCTAAAACATACAATGAAACAAATAAATGGTCTCGTAATAATTTTTAAGAGCCAAAAATAATGCATGATTATTCTTCTTTAAATAAGATTAAATGTGTTAATGTGTATTCGTTCAGTACAAACATTACACCAAAAGCTGCCTGATAAAAAACTTGTGACTCGTTCTTTGGTGCATCAGAAAGTAATTAGTGTGTCATTTTGGCCCTAATCCTTTCCACTAATCTCCTCCAATCCACTGAATTTGATTCAGTCATCGTTTCTCTCATATTCTAATCCATTTTGCCTTTGAGTTTTTGTGTGGGTCGCAGTGCGCCGCCCTGGGTACAAAGAGCAGTCACTGAGCTATGACATTAAAGGTATTGTTAAGCAGGTCCCAGCCCAGCGGCCCCTTATATGGACGCACTGGGCATGTTTTAGGCTTGTTGTCATGGGAATGAACACAGCTATACCCTCCTTAACAATCTACAACCCCCCTCCTGCTGCCCCTCCCTCCATATTCAACAATCAAGTAGTTTCAGCACCCAATCTTTGTAAATATTAATATATATTATCTCACAATGTACATGTGAGAGTAGTAAATGCAGTAGTAAGTACAAATGAAAAATCATAAAAATCAAAAGCTGGCCTCACAACACACACACACACACACCCACCCACACACACACACACCCACACACTCACACACACACACCTATCGGTGGAGCCACTAGCCTTTTTTTAGAGAAAGCACCACACACCCCCAGTTTCCTCAGTAAAGCTGTGGGCCTATTTGCTTGACTTTTGAGTGGGCTCATTGTGACCTGTCTCAGATTGTGTTGAATATGTGTACCACTGTCACAAACAAAAGTATTGTTAGCAGCAGATTGACCAGAGCCTTGAGTCAGATTTGCAGTGCCATTGTGGCATAGACACCTTCAAATCTCTGTTGTGCCTAATCGAGTTTGTCTTTGGGGCACTTTTTCACTGTCATGTTACAAAGAAGATAACTTGCATTCTAGACTGGCATAGTCCTCACATGTCAATCTTTTGCCTAATGTACACATGAGGCCAGACATGGCTGTATAAAAGTAAAATCAGAAAAATGCAGTGACTACAATACAGCGCCGAGAGGTCTGGGATGTCCTGCAGACAGCATCCTGTTCCTTCTCTATACCTCTTGTGGCACAAAGGACATTTGGCTTCTGTGCCTGTATACCTGCTCTGGATCGCAGTGCTTATCTTTCTCTGGCTTGTGGCCTCAGGTTTTTGTTGTGTGTTTTAGGAATGTCACTTCTTGTCTCAAGTGGGATGGCGGATGTCCTGGGAACCCAACTGACTACCCCTCAATCCCAGCCAATATTCTGCTGCCACAGGGTAATGGTGTTGAAGTAAAAGTGCATTCTGACAGCTGAGATATTTCATCTTCGTCTAGATAATAACCGCCACCCCTCTTCCCACTAAACTGGGAAAGGATCGAGACACTTACACTTTAGCATTAGCCATTTTGAACGTGACTAAATTCTAACCTACATCTAGAAAATATAGGATAGAGGAACAACTGCATTGATATAAACTATAGGTACAGGCACATTTATTGATTTAAATCAGTTTAAATTGTCCAGAGCTCACACATTAATGAGTTATAGCCTAATTCAGTGACCAGAGTGAAATCTGCCATGTACATTAGTTTTTTCCTGCATGCACTCTCTTGTGTGTACTGCTGAACAAAAATGCTCAATAATAGGTGCCAACTACAGAGAGCAGTTTTTTCCTCTTTTGTTACATTACATTCTGCCTTTAAATCGTATATATATAGTGAAATTCTGTCAACAACAAATGAGAATACAAATAACAAAACACAAAGAAACAAAAATGAGGCTAAAGCAGCACATTTGGGCAAATATGTGTCTGTGGCTCTCATGCACGTGCACAGTGGGGCTCGGCCGTGTTCTGACCAATCAGAGTGGAGGTAGAGCAGAGTTAGAGCGGGACACGATTGAGCAGAGTTTGTGGCACTGAGAATGAAAAGGAACACCAAAATTTGACCTTTATGAGATCTGTAGGTTCTCTGTCAGCTGAGGTCGAGCTGTTTTAGTTTACATTGAGTTTTATAAGAAAAATGTCTGGGTGTCCTTCAGCTCCAAGCTAGTAATACCCTATACAAATATTAAAATGAGTGATGAATGATTTGAATTCAAAAATTAAACAAGTGCTTAATCTAGGTGGTTCTAAAATAATGTTCAATTAGGCATAAAGGCTGCTAACTGTTGCCAAGCCTGAATAGTTTCCTAGTATCGTGGTTAAACTTGACTGTGGAGAGATGTTACAGGTCAGCTCTGTGGAGAGATGAGGCTGTTAGCAGTACGTTAGCTCTGTCTGTAAGTGATGGATGATCTGCAGTGTGATCCTGAGCGTGCATGATAAACAAGGCAGCGGCCAGCAGCTCTCCCTGAGGCCATTACCCAGAGGTCAGAGCCCACGCCTGGCTTCTTCCTGCCTGACCTCCCTCTGGACGACGGAGCGCGCTGGCCTGTGGATCACACGTGCTGCTCACAAACAATCTCACTTCCCGTCACCGCGCCGAGAGCCAGAAACCAAGAAGCCCTGGCCTGTGTCTGCTGCGCACTGTGCTAACTTCCTCCAGTCTCACGCTCCCTCTGAGCCTCCAGCGTCATTCATTAGCCTCTAGACTATTCACCCCGGACCAGTCCCAACACTGGGAACAAAATGCTCTCTGGTCATCACGTTCCAAACTTCCTCCCACTCTCCTCCATATAAAGACATGAGTCATATGCCTCAGCTGAGCATGAATAGAGCGCCTATGTGTGTGGAACTTTGAGGAGGGAAGGTCCAACTAAATAAAGCTGTCATGGTTCTGTTTCTCTGTTGGACCAAATACGGACTAGTACTCCAAAGTAAAAGAGTCCATGCCTCCTCTTATAGAGTGACCTGGATGACTAACAACTCATTTGGACAGTTGTACAAACATTCAAAACATAGCATATGGATTTTGTTACTTGAATATATTTTAGATTGTATTTTTACATTTTAAATAAATTACAAATTTTTACTCATTCACCACAAGTATTTAAGATTTCAGAATGTACAATGATGGGAAAACGCTCATCGTTGGGTTTTTATGAAAACTGCAATACTGAAGAAGCCCCAAGTTTTGTATCAAACACAACATATACTGTGCTTTTTTTTCTCTTAAGAAACTTAAGATCTATTGCATCTGTCACACAGAAGTGTTAACCAACTCTGGCTATTGAGCCTCCAAAGAGAAGCTCTGCTGAAAAGGCAGGCAAAATGAAGACTGATGTGGTGAATAGCATCTTAGGACATCTTATTGATACCAGATGGGCTTTGTGAGCTTCAGATTGGCCCCAAGAAAGAGACCTTGGACAAACATTATTGTTTACCAGTGCACAGCCATTGTTGCTGTTGCGTCTGTCGCTGGTGTACCAGCATCCTGCCAAATTAGGCAGCGGTCGCAGGGGTGCCGTTCCCGGCAAATTCATTGCCACCATGACCCCCTTGGCCAACACAAGACATTTCTTCATCGGTCACTCTACAATGACCCTCCAGGAGACTGACCCCTGACTCACCACAGGGATCCAACCCAGGCATGAGCCGGGTCAGTGAAGGGCAGCTGCTGGTGTAGCTGCCACATCACTGGTGTTGACTCTGTGCTTCTTCTATGGGATCAGGCCTGGACCTCAGAGGGACCAGGGTCCTGCAGAGAGCACTAGATGAAGCGCTATTCAGCAGTCTCAAGCCGATCTGTGTCCGGCTCAGCACTGACCACAGGGGAGCGCGCAGGTCAGCCGGGCCAGCCTCCTGCTGCTGGCCACATCTCTGAGCGTAAAGGCAGCCACACTCATTAGAGAAAGCATTCTGCTCTAGACATATGTGTGAAAAGTCCCAATTAGCTTGAATTAGGTTGAACAGCCAAGCACACTTTCATTGATCATATTGATCAAGCTAGAGCATTTTATTCTCATTTTCCTGAAGCAAAATAAGTCATGCTGAAATATTTCACACAAAATTATACAAGACTAAAAGTATTTTAGAGCCAGGTTGCCAGATGTAAGACTACCAAACCAGAGGGCATTGGTGCAGGTCACAAGGTTAACTGATAACACACAAGGACAGGCCTTGCCTTGTTTAGTCAGACATCTGCTTGTCCTTCTCCTCTTCATTCATCCATCCATCCACACAAACACCTATCCATCTCACTCTGTCAACATTCAAAATCTGAGTGTGGCCTTACAGAGGAAATCTCTGTCAAGATATGGTTCCTTATCACAGTCCAGTCAGCCATCCAGTTCCCATCATCCATCACGCCAGCATCCATGTTAGGGACTGCTGACCTCTGCAACAACCTGATTGGACTCAGACGACTGAGAAGATAAGAGTTTTAAAGGTACACTGTGTAGTTTTTACTCCCATCTAGCGTTGAGATCATATATTGCAGTCGTTTGTTACTACGAGTGCTGCGAAGGATTATAGTATGTCGTCTTTGACATTGGTCCCCAACCTCCAGTCATTCAAACCGGGCCTTTAAGGAAAGAATCCTTTAGATTGATCGGATCTCTCCGTACGTTTTGGTCACTTGACACGGTAGAGCTAAAAGGAAAACAGCCCCCGTTCTGAAGCTGCACACTCACGCTGCACAGAGGCTCTGGGGTGTGAGGAGAAGAGATGCGTGGAGGAATGGGACGTCTGTGGGAGCTTAAAACCACGATGATTAGAGAAGCCATGACATTGCCGTGGACATGGACACGAAGCCGCAGCAGAACTGTGGCCATTATTAGCTTTCGCCACAGCAGATTATGCCTTGTCTTTTCCTTTTGGAGCAACTGTAGAAATTACACAGAGTACCTTTAAGTGATTCTGGTACATGTTATGGCATCATCCTTATTTTATTTGGGACAATATATTTGGATATCATGAGGTTGAGACAACTTGTTTCAGCAAGTTTGTTATTGTCCCTGCAGCCTATGAGAAAATGTCCTCTGCATTTGATCCTTCCTTCTATGCCACGGGGGTAAGCTGTCAGGAGCAATAGTTGCCGCAGTGTCGCTCCAGATGTGGCCGCTCAGGTGGATGGTGGATGTTTTAGGTGGTGGGTGAGACTGGTGCGCCCAGAAGAAACCCACCCATACACAGGAAGAAACATGCAAATTCCACACAGAAAGGCCCAGGTTGAAATCAAACCCGCAACCCTCTTGTTCAAGCTGAATTGGCTTGTTTTTAACAAAGTTGTGAATGCACATAATTTCATGACCTGTGGAGTTGTGAGTGGCCTTTTACCTCCTGAGAGACAGCCACTCTTCCCTTATTCTATTATTCTGTTTGTTTTGTGAGTATTAGTACCCAAGAGGCCGAATTATGGATCAACAGAGGAGCATCAATCTCCATCTCACTTTAGCTTTATACTCGTGCTAAAGTAAGTGGCCAATTAAGATGGCGGAGACCGTGTGCGCCTGTCCCCATCTGACTGTAGATTAATGACCGGCCAACGCTTTCCTTTCCCTAGTCCATTTATCAGAACCAGCAACTAGGTCACATGATGATTAAACGTCTGGAGCATCAGGGTCTCCAGGGGCTGAGCTTCCAGTACTGCTGTAGCCTCCACTTGGAGCTAATTGCGCTCTTTTCAGAAAATGAAACTAATTCCATTGGCAGGGCCTATTAGCCTGTAAGGTAACAGCGCTAAGAATTCTGGGATCTTGCTCGTCATGTGATACAATGTCTGAAGAGGAGGACTCTCAGGGATGAAGAGTGTTCATTAAAACACTCCAATTTAGGTGCAATTGGACGTTGCAGGATTCAGTGTGGTGTCACTGGTCCTGTGTCTGTAGGGCTTGACATGATGGGATAGGTGGCTAAGGAAGCATGTGACAGAGCAGCTCCCATTAGGGACTTTTCACACCGTTTGGTCAGTTGAGTAAAGTCTGTTATGGGGGCGTATGTAAAATGGAGTAAAGCTTACATGTTTTACATTATTTGACTTTATAAGTGTAACAATTTACATCAGTAAAACAAATAAACTCAACCTGTCCATGTCACCCTCTGCAGATCTTTCATTATCAACTGAAATATATATCAATTAGAAATGCACTGGAAACCAGAAAGTCTACTGGAATGTGTGTGCTGCTGCACACTTAATCAGTTCATTGATCAGTATTAGTGCATCCACACTGTGATTGGTGAGTGTACGTGTGGGAGTTGTACTTGATGAAATTAGAGTCCCAGACAAGCATAATAGGGTTAACATGAAGCAAGGGCTGCCTGCAGACAGCAGTGTGAGTTAAGTGAATCAGGAGCTGGCTAATACCTTTTATCAGCTGCTAATTGAGTCCTGAGTCAACATGTGGAGGACATGCACAGCAAAATGGTCTTAAATGGTTTGAGTTCTATTAAAAAGTTGAAAAGCGATCTTTTAACTTAATTGGTAATATGATGACAAAGTGAGCAAGTACTGACCATTGCAGAATACTCATGAAGCAGAGGATGTATCAATGGCATTTGAAATGCACTGGACCACTGCGGCCAGTCTGACCCTTGCCTGCCCTGACCATTGAGCCCCAAGTCTTTCAGACTCATCTGAACAATACCAAGCAATGTCCGGCCTCCGACTGACCGCTGAGCCGATTACAAACCGGACCAGCCACAGAGGGACACCCCTCACATCAGCCGTGACCCCCAAACCAAACCTCCTGTTGGAGCCAAGGTCAGTGTCCAAGCTGACCCCTGCTCTCCCGCCATGTTTGGACATGTCTATACACAATGTGAGGCCCAAGGCAACATATTAAAAAATAGTCCGGATGGGAGATGGCTTCAGATGAGTCATGTTGGCATAGCGACTGGCCAGTGCCTCACGGTCCTCCCCCAGATGTGCAGGGGGCAGGACGGAGGACTTACAACGGGGATGATCCCGTATTACAGGGCGGGCAGCTTTTCAGGTGCAGCTTAGTTTTGTTTGTGGGGTTTGGTTTTATCCTCCTTCCTGTGTTGAGACCACTGAGCTGAGGCCTTTGATGTTTTCATGTGTTGACCACCCCAAAGCAGCATCTCACACAGAACTGACCAAGGACCAGAGCTAGATATAGTATAAACTATATAGTTTACATTGAAGATCTGTCTAAAATGTATACAGTGAGGTGTGCAAGTTTGGGCACCCCGATTACATTAACCTTTTCTTTCCATTGTGCACATTTAGAATTTGAAGGTGAAAAAAAAAAAAAAAGAATTACACTTTTTTTTTTAGCTTAAGCCTCAGATATTCAATCTAGTTCTGGTCTGGAGACGGTGAACGCTCACACCTCTGGTTGATCCATGAGTTTGGAATCATCATTTTATTTTTTTATTGTACCTGTAGAATTTTACGAGTGCCACTGGCTGCAACACTTTAGCATGATGAAACCTAAAATATACTGGGATGATTTCATTATCACTGCTTATTGACAGTACAAACAATATAAAATGTGCTGAATAGAGGTTGGAGCTAAATGCTGTGACATTTCAAACTTCATATCCAGTGTTTAAACCATAGGCCTAAGTAACACACTTGTTTTCAGTGTAAAGTCTCTCAGTAGAAGCAGAGGTGGCGGTTGTGGGATGCAGCTGTTATTCGTTTGGACTGTATTAACCCGCTCTGCCCTTACCTCTAACTCTGCGTGTTAATGTGTGCATGCTCGTGTAGCGGAGGCACTGTAGTGAGACGCCTTGTCTTTGGCCACTGGTCCATGCAGCTCTCTGTTGGCTTTCCTGTGCATGGCCGGGGGTCTCGCTCGGACGCTCCTGTGTGTACTCATTCAGCGCAGAGGTCGTGTGTCAGGGGCCAAAGGGTCTGTGGGGGGTGGGGGTGAGCAGGGAGCACGCTGGAGGTGTGGGGGGCACATGCCTGGAGGTAGGTAGACTGTTAATTGGCCTCTGGAGACCTCTGTGCGTGCTGCAGTGCTCAGGGATGTGCTGAGAGGATGCATGTGGAGTGATATGTGATGTGACATTGTTGGGGTATTAAAAATGTATGCAGTAATAAAGAAAAACATGTTATGCATTATTTCTGACTGTCGAAATGATAATTAAATTTTTTCCTTTGTCATTTAATGTTTTAGACTCTATAATATTATCTTCAGACAAGATATGGTGTAACGAGTCTCAAGGATGAACGTTACCAGCCCTATCCCTATGCTACCACCAGAGAGAGGGGCAGACGTTTTCTTTTCTTTTTTTCAAATTAGAAAATTACCAGCAGCAATCACAGCCATCATATCACTTGTGGAATTGCCAAAAACAAATTTGTAGGCAAGAAAACGGCTACGACATCATACTATTACAGGACTGAGACAGGAGCTTTTAGAGAGAAGGGGCGGAGTAACATGTTTGTGCCAGAAGTTTCTGATATGAGCATCGATGGATCGAAAAAAACTCCACGTTTGTCTGGATGAAGGAACAATATGGCAACATAGAGAAGCTCAGAAAAGACTATTTATTATTGTTTTATTCTGTTATTATTTTAACTGTTCCTGTCACAAGTTTGCCAAATCATGCAACAACAAAAATAATGCACATTTTTTAATGTTTTTATTAAATATTTATTGTGTTTTTTCTGCTTACAGAAGGGACAACGGCTACAGAACATGGATCACATTCGCAATCATTTTTAGTTTTTTCTCCCCTCCCTACCATGGGTTCACCCTTCCCATTATGAATATACAGCACAAACACACATCCCCCCCCCTTCACCCCTATTGGCAATGCAAACTCATTGTGAATACCATTCTATTAATCTACTCAAATTAGGGAAATAATCTAAAATGATAGTTTTTGATACGTTTAAGAAGTTTTTATTACAGCTGCTTGTTTACAGAGCGTTGTGGATGTGTTTGTTCAGGACCTACCACCACATTACCCGCCCATTAAAGTCGTGCCATTATTTTTGCTCTGTTCTCTCAAAGGGACGGCAGTGTCCAGCTGATGAAAGGGCCACAGAGGGTCCATTTCACTCAGGCTGAAGAGAGGGGGACTACAGTCAGTGTTGGCAGAGTAAACAGTCCTGAGCACCAGGATCACACCGACACACGCCGCACAATGCACAGAACAGACACGCTGAGGTGAAAGATCAGGACATCACCAAGAACACATCTATGACATATTTTTTGAAATGCAATACACTTTAGTGAATGAATAAACAACACTGTGGTGACAATGACATTATTTCACCATAATGACAGAAGAAACATCAAAGAAACAGACTCTACTATGGACATTTACCAACATTCATGAACATTGGTCTCTCCCTTTGGACCAATACTTATGTGATCTATATAACTATTAACTCTTTAACTTAACTATTGATTCTCTGATCTGTGTTGGCAATTTCAACGGTTCTGTTAAGTCCTCTGAGATAACTGCTGTTGTGATTTATGGCTATACAAGAATACATTGAATTGAATCAGTTTATCCAAAACCCCATTTCTACCTCATTGCAACAGGTTAGATAGTGGATACTTTCTGCAACTGATGCAACAGCCTCAAAGTGGTTTCTGACTGTTTAAAACGCTTGCTCTCGCCGTTACAAGCATTACATAGACATGAGAACCACATGGATATACCTAAAAGTAAACTCAATAATATTTATGAGGTAGATTATATGTATGTATGAGTTCAAAATGTACAGTATGTGCGCAAAATAAAACAACAAATTTGTAATAACTCCATAAACAGCAACACATATAGTTTGAAAAGGGGTTGGACAAAGCAAACCCTTATTTAGCTCCAACCTATCACTCATGGTCATACAACACACACCCTCACAAAAGGCACACGCACACACAACACACTCTGCTATTGTGATTTAGGACTATACAAAAAAAACAAAACAATCTGATAATTCAGAAATGATACAAGTCAAAATACTTATGAATTATAGCCCTATTATAGCCCTATACTTCATTTATAATTTACAGATAGAAAACGGACAAGTCCTGCTTGACTGACTGAAGATAAAAGAGTCTAGCATAGTTGTGTGTTCAGTTTAGGAGCCATATGCAGAGCGTGTTTGGACAAGTGCTGACCTGGCTGTAGACCGTTGGTGGCGAAGCTGTCGGGGGCAACAGTCAAACAGTGGTGGGCAGAGAGTAGCAGAGCGGCGCCTTGACTGACTTGTCCAATATTTGCTGGTGCAGAGAAGAGGCGTGTGGAGGCTGCAGCGGTCAAGAGGTCAGCAGGCCATTCAGCAGGGACAGCACTGACCAGCAGGTGAGCAAACACAGGCACCACACCAGGAGCGGTCACTTATACAATGTGTGTGTTACCCAACAACGTAAACAAGGGCAGCGTACATTCACTTTCATTCATTTCTTAAAGCTATATGTATTGACATAATTTTCAGCTGCTAGAGTAAGTGGGGCATTTTACCCTATTTGGTGGATCACTTTTTTATGCGCCACTAAATCTACTGAAGCTTGGAACTAAAATCTACCTCATTGGTAGAATCTATCATTTGGTTTTAGGCACTTTTACCATTAAACTGCTTCTCAACCATTTGGAAAAACGTATTAGTTGTTATTAGATCATCTTGGAAAATCAAAAAATGAAAAAAAAAAAAAAAAATCCTGGATTTGTTTGATAGACAAAAATAATAAAATTCATGTTGATGTTTCTTTCACCAGTTTTCACATGCATGTGTTTTTTGCCCATGTCACAGCTTCAGCGTGAAAAGAAGAGGATCATCTTCATCTTCACCCAAAGAGTCAAACAGAGCTCTTTCTGAAAAAAATGTAACATGTTTTTGTTGTGGTCTGATTTATTCACAACATTGCTACTTTACTACTTTTTTCTGTTGGGACCAACAAAATGTATTTATGAAAGAAAAAAGTTGCATACTTTTTTGGGCCGGTTCTTTAAAGAAAATAAGTCAGTCGTAGTGCCATATGAACCAATTCGGACAATGAGGAGCAGAGGGACGAGACTAAACATGTGGAGGCTGCATTGTATTTCAGATTTATGCTGCGATAATCTGCAACAATCTTCCTGAAAATGTGAGACAGGCTTCTTCTCTGACAATGTTTAAATCCAGGTTAAAAACTATTCTGTTTAGCTGTGCATACAACTGAGAGGTTTTATAATTTTATCAACAGTGGCTCAGGTTGGTAGAGCATTGGCCTTTGAGCCTGAAGGTTGAGGGTTCGAGCCCACCACGAGACCTACTTCACGACTTCCACTGATGTCTGCTGTCGTTGTGTCCTTGGGCAAGACACTTAACCCCACTTTGCCGGAAGCCCCCACTGGAAAATCAAGGCTCCTGTGGACTCACCCCCTGCAGGAGGATCAGTGAGGGGCTGGTGCTCTGTGTACTGGGTGCAGCTCTGACTGCCACCCCATGACCCAGAAATGGGTTAAGGGGAAGAAGATGGATGGATGGATGGTTAATTCAATCTTTCTTTTTAATTATTTATGCCATGTGTGATTGTTTCTAGTTGGTTCTGTTCAGCACTTTGTGTTGCCTTGTGAATGAATTGTGCCGTATAAATAAACTTGCCTTGTCTAGTCATGTAAGAGCCAACAGTGAGACAAATCTAATCAAAACATAATCTTAGACAAAAAAAGATCAGCATTTCATTGGTGAGACAAAGAGGCACTGTTTGAAAGTCACTTCAGAGGGCTGGTTGTTTTGACGCTGGACAGAAGCTGTTTACTTTTGGTTTTAGGCCCACTAAGTTACCACTGACGAGCAGCCAAGTAATGTCACCAGACAGTTTTTGTCATGAGGCTTCAGTGGGCCACTTAGGCAATAAAAGGCGGCCCTCAGTGTTCCCCAATGCGACAACAAGTCCAGCTCTCTGTCAGATTGTGAGTGACGTAAACACTGTGGACAGATACAATTTCAGCCTGGCAACCGGCAGCAGAGTCTGGCAACCGTTTTCCTGCGTTTGTGCAAAGGCTGAGAGAGCTGAGCTGAGGCCTCACCTGCTGCCCTCACGAGCTGCCATGAATGCTCAAATAATCCCACTAAGTCCATGCAAACCCCACAGCCGCATGCACTATGAGCTGAGAGACCTCCCTCTCTCTCTCTGAGATGGCACTCGATTAAGAAACAGTTTGAGCTGACATCACTTTTTCCATGGCAACTTGCATATCTCGTTCTTTTGGAAATGTTCTCAGTCCCCCAGTTTTCATCACACAAACGCCCCATTCACCATCCACCAGTTGGGTGAGATGGGTGATGTCACAGCAGATTTACGACCATTTGTAGGCAGCTCACGAGCGCTTGTCACTACGGATAAGTTAATAAAAGTAGTACCAAACTTTTAAACCTCTAATTAATTCTGCCATGTAATAAAACCCATGTCACTGGTAGTTTTCACATGTATTTTTGAGCCTCTGTCACATCTTTGGATAAGCTTTTTCAGACGGAATAAGAGGACTACCCTTACTCAGTCAATCAGCCAGAAAAATCAATCAGTGACTCACAGGGCTCATTCTTAAAAGTATAAGCAAGAGATAACAAGGTTTTCTAAAAAGATAAAGACATCTTGTCGTCTGATTTGTATGTTTTATTATTACAAGACTTTCTGTTGGGACAAAAAGAAATACGGATTATGAAGAACAAAGCATATAAAGTGTGAAATTATTGTCGACCAACTTCCTTCCCTACATTACAATTGTTTGTGAGGCAGATAACAGCCTTTTGAATAACACTGTTCATCCACACACTTAAACATGAGAATATAGATCCTGCGTCAGTGTTATTGATGGCGGACGATAGCGTGCACAATGGTCTGATTCATTAAGGCGTGCAGTAAGACAGTGAGGTCATTTTATGGATTCTGCACAAATGGACGTCGTTCTAAAGGGTGAGAACATGCAGTGGTCCTTTGCCCTGTCACCTCTGTGGGAGCTGAGTCACACACACACCCAGGACCACCGGAGCATCTGCACTCAAGCTGCTTTCAGTTTCTTAAATTTAAGAACTGTCATAATTTATAGCAGCGATAGGCACGCTACATTTGTGTGTTGGGCCTGTGACAAGAAGGGTCAGTGACCTGGGTGACTTAGCTAAAATCCCCATGGGCCCAATTCTGCTGGAATGGACCCCACAGCGCAATGGAAGATGCCTCAAACATAATGAACACAAAGGCCAATTGTGACGCTATTCTCTGAGGGCCAAAAGGCAGAGGGCCTCGAGGACAGTGCAGGACTTGTCGGACGAAACAGAGAAGGATGCCTGTTGCAGCAACAAGCCTGCGATAAGATTCATACCGCTGTGACTGGACGACTCCTGTGTGTGTTTGAGGGCAGAAGTGTTAGATTTACATCCACTTCACTTGTCTGCACTTGCTCTCAGTGCGGCTGTTTTAAAATATATATAAATAAATGCTGCAAAGAAATTACAAACACTTGAAATTGTAATTCCTCATGAAGTCAATATTATTACGGTGGAACAGTGATAAGATCCTGGATTAAATACCATGTCCAGACGGGGATGTTCTGTGTGTTTGCATGGTCTCTCTTACCGTACAGACAGACAATCTAAACAGTTTTAAGCACAGTGGGAGTTTTTAGTTTTTAGTCTCTCCTTCAATTTCAATCGCAAATCAAATGTCACTGTTATCTGAAAAATAGCATTCTTCCAAAATCCTGCAGCACTAATATTGTCATGTTCAGACAATGGTGGCCTTACTCACAACCTCAACAAGCATAACAACAAAAGCAGAGCCGGCGACAAGACGGAGAACAAGAAGTAACACTGCTGCCTCTGCCAAATCACACGCCCATCCCCACAATTTATTTCCCTTTTCCTTCTCCATTTCAATGTTTTTATCATACACCGTCCGGACACACCCTCTATGTGTGCGACTGATGAGGTGGGGGATTTAGAAAAAATGAAGCAACAGGATCAGGCTTTTTTTTTATGAAGAAAGAGGAGAAATGAGGCTTTGTGCACGTCGGCTGCTGTGGCACATTTGACAGGTCTGTCCGGGCCGCCTTTGTGTCATCAGTATAATGGGAATAGAGGGAAACACAAACTGAGGTCACTGTGCCGTTGTGGTGCTGGCTATTAGTCAACGTGACGGCCTTTGCAGATGCTAATGGCGTATAGTGTGTCTCCCTCCTCCCTGAACGTGGCAATCTGATAGCACAAAGGCCTTCTGCTGGAGGTTGACTTTTCTCCTTTCTATTCATAGGCACTACAAAGTCATTAGGGGACTTTTACCCAGACTTGTTTTTAACCAAACAGGGAGGTCTAATAGCTTTCACTAGTTACCCAAGTGTGAAGAGCTCAGGTGGATGTGAGCCTGGTTGGAGGAACACGGCTCGAAGAGAACGATCAGGAGTGAAGGAGTCTGATTTACAGCTGATGAAAGTGAAAGTCCAGCCATGTTACCCATGTTGGGACTAACAGAATACACTGGGGCTGGGAACATGTAAACCACCTGTGTGTGAAAGCTAGATCCTGTCAGATCTCTGGAGCTAGAAAGGACAGGGCCTGGTTAGTACTGTGATGGGAGACCTCTGGAACACCAGGTGCCGCAGTGGGGCGACTGTGGCTGTATAGTGCCTGCTGGTGTGTCCATAAGCAAGTCACTTCACCCACATTGCCAAGCATTAGTGGTGTGTGCGCGAATGGTTGGTGGTGGTCGGGGGGGCAGATGGCAACATACTGAATGTCTCACTTCTGTCTTCTTCACTTCTGTACTTTACAAAATTCTTAAGGAATATACAGTTGTATTTTGATCAAAGACTGCAAAAAGCTTTAGTTGATAGTTGTTTATAATATCACTCAAATGAGGAAGTATTCAGAATACAGTGCTGCGACTTGACCTGAACTAACTCAACACATCAAAAAATACGTTAAATATGGCATTTTAATACATTTAACTTACTTCCCCAGCTTCTATCCTTATATCACACCAGATTTAAATGTCAATAACATCATTACAGCTTTGGAGGTCTTCAAAACAACTCATGGTTTACCATATTATCTTTATAGCATTCCTCGAACAGAAAGATATATTTCAGAAATGTTAAAAACCAATCAGATGTTCTAGTTATGAGGAATATCATTCCACGCACAACTTTTATTATTTCACCCATGCAATGTACAATGTGTCAATCATCTTCGCGTATATTTAAAAGTAACTACATTACTAAACAAGCGTCATTACCATGTACCGATAAGTCCAGCTGTGAGCATGCGACCCAAAGTCCCGCAGACTGTCTGTTGGAGCAATTCTGACAATGACAAACATTACCATTAAGAAAATGTCATTTATTTTATTTTTAACCACAATTTAATAAATAAAGCATATTTGTTGGGGGGCAACATGCAAACATTTTTTACATCCTAAAACAAGACATTTCAAGCCATGTTCACTTGGGTTTTGTTACAAGTGGTGGACACTGCTGTACATGATACTATGGCAATTACTTCAATATCTGTACAAAGTGCACAGTACATAGACTTATATTCTACACATGGATTATACAGAATCCACCTTGTTCAATCACATGGACTTTTCAAGAACAGAAGAGAAAGGTCAAATGTGTGTATTGGACATTTGAGAGGGCGAGGTACAAAGTAAGTACAGAGAGGGTTTATGTGTGATGTGGGTGGATGAAAGCGGGGAACCTGCACACCTCTGGCGCAGATGAACGTAGCGACTGCACAATAGCATTCAGCACATTCAGTCTTCTAAGCACGTCTTAGTCCTGCTTTTTCAATGAGGAGCAAAAAGGAAACCACCCAAGAAGAGTGGAATACAAGACTCATCACGGTGGAAATAGAACGACGTATTTCTACAGCATTGTTTTTATATTTAACAGGTTGTGGCCTATTTACATTACACAGCAATAACATTTAGCTCGTTCCTTTCACTACATCCATGACATAAGGATTGCTGCTCTATGTAACTTTTCTGTTTGAAGGTTTGGCAACAGCCCGTTTCTATGGAGATGTTACTGCTTTTTCTTAAACGTTACAAGATAGTGTGGCAACCAATTAAAGATGCAAAAAAAAAAAAATCAACTGGAACCAAACCAAGAGACACAGGATGCACCACTCAACATGAAAAGTTAGATAGAGCACTTTTTAGGAGTCATTAAAACAATAAAGGAAACAGGATGATGAATGAAAAAGCAAAGTGCATACGGTTTAACAGGACAATTTTTACCCAATGGCACACAATAAGTCAAACCCAAGTGCTCTGGTATCGCTGAATTAACTTGGACAGCTGCTGTAATGAAATTGAACGCCATTTCACAAAGACCAGTGCAAACCCTTGGTGAGATGTATGATGGGAAACACATACTTGGACATAAGTACTACATTGAACACGTCAGTCTGTGTTTATTCAAATGACCAGGTGACAGTATTTGGGCTTCTGTGCTCAAATCCTTGTTTAGACAGAAATTCAGACTCAGAAGATGGGGTAAAACCAGAAGAGAGATGGGCACTAGACGCAGGCGAATGTCATTTACAGCAGTCTTCTTCGCTCAGTGCATTGTGTGGGGAACTCCAGATGTACCTTTAAAATGAGGTGACAAAATAAAGAATATGACAAATGTTTGAGAATTGAATTACTTCCCTCTGTTCATACGTTAGCTACCTGTTTCCTTGCTTATTATTTTTCCTTTGTGAAGGGCTTCGATGAAAGCTTCTAGTTTCTCCTGGATCTCTCGAACCTTTTCTGCAAGAAAACACAAACATTTTGAGTCGTAAATTTCCTTTGTCATCTGTGTGCTTCAAAAAATGGCCTGATACAAAGTTTAGGAGACTTTGAATTGTTGAGTTATTGTTGGGTAGAAATTCTTTCACAGCAAAACACCAGATGGTCTACACGCACTGACAGTGACAGCGAACCCGCCACACACATTTGAAGATGAAGGCTCTCTCGGTTTGCCCAGACCACATCAAAAAAGATCCCGGCCGCTCTTTTCCATGGCTCACGGGCACATAGCTAATGGACACAGGGAGATACCATAACAACATCGCACATGAAAGAAAATGTACTGGAAAAACGGTCACTTCCTTTCAGCATTATGCCGCGGTTGTCCTGGTACCGGGTGAAGAGTGGCCTATTCCACCAGACTTGTACTGTCACACGAGATGCACAAGCCTTCTAAAGCCGTCTTAAATCGCTGGATAAACAGTGGCTGAGAGAAGTCGCGGGCCAAAAAAGGAAGCGAGGATTCCCAATACCAGCTGCAAGCTTCAGACTGGGCTGAATCCGCAGCTTCGTCGTCAACTGCACTAATCTGCTTGGATCTTCCACAAGCACAAACTCAAACACGGGCACTGCAGAACAAACTAGCAGCGTGGCCTGTTGATCAAGCGACCACACGAGATCCATAGGCAGCCCATTGTTTTCCTACAAGAAGGCCATGATAAAAAAAAGGCAAAGGAGATGAATGATCTGTGGAGCTCAGGGCAACAATGTATTGAGTGTCCAGTGTCCACTTCAGATAGGCATAAAGGTGAGAAGTGCAGAGTGCTTGGAGGGGAACTAAATATGTCATGCAGGGGTTCAAGACGTGCGGCTTTGATGGGGGCATGGGCCAGAGGTATCCTTTTCCTGATGATGAAAACCAAAAGGGATTGATGTAGGCAGACGTGTAGTGAAACTTAAGTCCAAAGATGGGGAATGACAAGGATGGATTTTCAAACGGATATTTTGAAACGCAGGAGGATATCTAATAATATACTTTTTCTCCTAAAATGGTTGAATCTAACCAATTGTTACTCATCAAGGGACTTAAAGCACTTAACTTTATTTTATTATTTTTTGTGGACCAATCATGCCCTCTTTATCTTAGACATTTTATACAGCTTAGTGTACTCTCTTTTTCACAGATCTAAAGATGCGATATAGAGGTATATAATACAGCAAACCCATCTCCAGAAGTTGATGCTCGGCTTGGTCAGGACCGCAGCCGGAGCCTTTTACCGATTGTATATGTTTTTTAGTAGGGAAACCAGAGCATCCAGAAGAAACCTAAGCAGACAAGGGTGAGAACATGCAAACTCCACTAAAAAAGACCCCGTTCTGACCAGGATTCGAACCCAGCGCCAACCACTCTGATATCGTGCCGCCCATGCATGTGAAAACTAATGATAGGTCCCAACAGTTTTGAGAGTGAGGAACTAATTTCCTGGATTTTATTACATACCTTTTATGTGGTTTCAAAATGAGTTACTCCAACTTTAATGTAAATGTTGAATCTAAATCTTAAAATTGGCTTGTATCTCTATGCACGGCAATTAAATGCGGATGTAAAAGTCAGGTAAAAATCTATATAAAGAGGAGAATGCCTCGACACAAGTTATCATTAATGTCATGGGGGAGAAAGAAATCCTTTGATACTCTGTTAACAAAATGGCAAGGCATACGGGAGAAGATTACAACACCTAATGGAGGCATTAAGGGGCCTGTCAGGGGCACGCTGACAACTCTGTGCAGCAGGTGTGAGGCTGAATGAAACATAACTCCACACTACACCATTCCAGCTCAGCCCACCGCAGGGCACGGCTCAAAGGGACGAGTGCATCTGCGGAGGCCTGTGCTGCCACCACAGGCCGACCCCAGACAGCTACGGCCAAAAGCAAAGGGATTAGAGTCATCGGGTGTGGGTGTGTGTGTGTGTGTGTGTGTGTGTGTGTGTGTGTGTGTGTGTGTGTGTGTGTGTGTGTGTGTGAGTGTGTGTGTGTGTGTGTGTGTGTGTGTGTGTGTGTGTGTGTGTGTGTGTGTGTGTGTGTGTGTGTGTGTGTGTGTGTGTGTGTGTGTGTGTGTGTGTGTGTGTGTGTGTGTGTGTGTGTGTGTGTGTGTGTGTGTGTGTGTGAGAGTGTGTGTGTGTGTGTGTGTGAGAGAGTGTGAGCGTGTAATAGTACAGCAGGGACCTACTGTCAGGGTTGTAAATGTGGGAAATCCCCGACATTGGGCTTCAAGGATAAAGCAGGTTTAAATGTGGCTGATGGTCTTCCCCTTTGAGCTTGTTAAAAGTATGCCGCATACACTCAATGCCAAGTAGTAAGAAATGTCACTAACGAGAGTGGGTAGCAGCAATAAGCCTCAAAATGGACCAATTTATAAAAAATCTATATTACAGGTACAAAACACAAAATGCAGATGATGCATTTTGCTTGTATTCATAGTATTGAATGATTTGGTTTCACTTTCACCTCACAGTGCGGTATTCATAAAAATAAAACCTTTGAAAGCTTCTACACACACACACTTTTCACAGAACATAAATTATTACTTAAACCCAGACAATTCCATTTCCATTAAAATTGACTTTTTCAAGGGATGTCTAGCCAGTTATGTCGCAGAAAAACATTAAAATGACAGAACAATCTCACGTTATTGAGACATGAGATTGTCTCTATAGCTTCTAGATCTACAGGCATTTGGGGAAGTATTTTCCCCGAAAAAAAATTCTTAACATTTTGACCTTAACTTTTTTAAGCTTTTTATGATCACAGGAAGGCTCTGAATTAATGAGAAATATGGCTTTTGAACTCCAACATTCTGAAAACTGTAAGAAAGATATTTGTCTGTTATCACCATCTGTTTGCCACTAAAAGATAGTGGCAACAACAGTGGACAGTGACTACTCCATACAGAGCAGCAAACTAAAAGTCCATTTAGGAGCCTGTTTACCTAAGAGATGAGCCCCAAAACAGTCATTCAACCGTTCATTCCTTTATCTGGTCATGAATATTCCCATAATCCTCTGGCCACCATCCCAGCGGCCTCTTGTTTAAGATGCTGTTGTGCAGCCTGCACTGGGTGGAGGGATATCGACCCATAAAGTGAATGAGGGGGCCTGTCCTCCACAATCCCCTCTTTAAGACAGAGTCTCTGCTGATCTCCACATGAAATGATATCTCATTCACATGCTCTGTAGTCTGCTAAGCCTGCTACAGCAAAGCACTGGCAGAAGGAGAGCTGAGCCAGAAAGCCTTTAATTGACCTGTAATTAGACTGAACGTGCATGGCCGCACTGGACAAGCAGTCTGCTTAGAGAAAAAGTGAAACTATGTGCGAGATGAAAAAGAGAAGACAGAGATGCCCAAGAAGAAAAAAGGGAAGAATTTAGTGGTCACACTACTAAAGTAAAAGGGAGGGGACCATTAAGGCCAGAGTTGATGGATAAGTGGTAAAAGAAACATTTCAGCAGGTGATGCTTTGTTCGCAAATCATTGGACATTAGTGTATAGTTCACCAGGCAATCATAGGGAGGCACTATGGGGTCAAGAGCATACAACTCAAGTCATGAAAGCCTGTATTGCCCCAAGTCGGTGTTTATAGTAAGTATGGCATGTTTAACTCTCCAGTCATTTCCTCTTTCAAAAGGCATTCTTTGGATGTAACAGAACGTGTGTGTGGTTGATCTGTCACTGTATCCAAATGCTCACGCTACGAATATGAAGCCTTGTGAGACTGGACACTGGGAGAGCGGGGATGTCGTGTCAGTGACAGAGCCATGAATCAGGGCCATCGGCAGTATCTACAAAACAGATGTTTGTGAGAGCACGGCAAAGCCAGAGAGAGTGTGCCAGACTAGGATGAAACAGGTTAAACCAGACAAATGGGACAAAACAAAAACTGATAAATATGAACAAGTGTCCCAGTTTTCACTTTTGAAGAGACACATTGTTAGTGGTAATAAAAACTGAGGTCAAGGTGACAACGTACTTTTAGACGTGGTGACTTCCACTGAAATAATTCTTAAGGCATAAGTCTGCTTCTACTGGTTCTGGTGCCCAAACAGATTACTTTAGGGGACTTTGGCATGGCTTGGGTAAATGGAAACTCCAGTTCCAGAAAAGGAGCTCTACTCGGTGATCACCTGAACCTAATGTTTAAATGCATTTCTAAATTATGCTTTAATAGGACTGGTCTGTAAAATTGACATAAAACAATTTTAAATCTTATGTCAATTGACAACAGAAGAAACAAATTAATATTAATATTGCGTAGTCACTCGAGCAGCAAAAAAAGGGAGTAATAAATGATGGCACATAGAGAGGTAGACTGATTTACAGCAGCCTGACGTTCTCCAGCGTTAACCTTTTGCACAACACTGAGGCTAAGTGGCCATCAATCTTGGGTCGCCACATGGGCCTGGGGATGTGGACATGTCAGGACTGTTTTAAGCACAGATCCGGTCCAAAATCCCTGCTGCTGCTTGAGCCACAGTGCAGCTCATGGGAGGAAGACACGAAAGAAAGTTTTCATGCTTGAACAAACTTCTGCCTAAGCGAGATTGAAAGCTTATCAACGTTACAAAACACATTTATGAATGAAGAATTAATTAATGGGAAATCTTTGTTTCATTTTGTCTGTAATAATGCCTCAAACTTATGAGGCAGTCCCCATTTGTGGTCCATTTAAATGGAAAATGGTCACACAGGTCATATGTCAATGATTCATTATATACAGTGCCTTGCGAAAGTATTCCCCCTTGAACCTTTCGCACACATTTCAGGCTTCAAAAATAAAGATAATATAAATTTAATTTTTTGTCATGAATCAACAAGTGGGACACAATCGTGAAGTGGAACGAAATTTATTGGATAATTTAAACCTTTTTTAACAAATAAACTGAAAAGTGGGGCGTGCAATATTATTCGGCCCCTTTACTTTCAGTGCAGCAAACTCACTCCAGAAGTTCAGTGAGGATCTTT